CAGAGGGAAGGTAGGGGAAGGTGGGGGTAAAGGCGAGAGATCAACCAAAATACTTGTATGCATGCACACAAGCATAACCAATGGACACAGACACCAGGAGTGTGAGGGCATGGGGGAGGAGGGATAGGGGGCGGGATAAGGACACATAAGTAATACCTTAATCAATAAAGAAAAAAAGTGAAAAAAATGGCAGCAAATACATATCAACAATTGAATATAAAAATAAAAATGAACAAGAAATCTAATGAACAAAATAAACTGAATAAAATAGAATCAGAGATAAGGATGCATGGAACAGACCAGCAAATCTCAGAGGGAAGGGGGGAGGCAGGAACAGAAGAAATTAACCATAGATCTTACCTATGGACATAGATGGTAGGGTGGTGAAGGCCTGGGGCAGGACAGGAACGGGTAAAGGGGGCAATGGGGGACATCTCTAATATTCTCCACAATGAAGATTAAACACAAAATAAAATAAAAGTATTAAAAAAATAAATATGAATTTGACTTGAAGTTACAAGATAAACAAATTCAGATAATTAACTACCTCATCTCTATGTGTATAAGCAACTTTCTTCACAAAAAAAGATAAATACAGCCAGCTGGTGTGACTCAGTGGTTAAGCTTGACCCAGGAACCAAGAGGTCACGGTGTGATTCCCTGTTAGGACACATGTCTGGGTTTCAGGCTTGATCCCAGTAAGAGGGTATGCAGGAAGCAGCTGATCGATTATGTTTCTCTCTCATAGATATTTTTATATCTCTATCTCTCTCCAGTCCTCTCGCCAAACAATAAAAACATAATAAAAAAAAGATAAATACAAAATATAACAAAGAGGCAGTAGAGTAAAAGACTAAAGAGATAATCATTAAACCAGACATCTTATTTAAGAAAAAAGCTACAATAGCCAATTCACTTTTGTTTTGTGCTTTAGTTAACACCATTTAAGTGGAAACTAACTTAAATATCAAAATTTTTAAAGGCCGAATGGGTTCAGTTTTGTTGCCTCTGAAGTCCCACAAAAGACAGAAATGCCACTCGTTTTCTGCAGTATTATCTTTACTTAAAGTGCAAGCATATCATACTCGCGGTGCGCCAACTGCGAGTTTGACATGCTTGACATCAATAGGTTCTTTCTATACTCAGACTTTAACATGTGGATAAAATATACACATACATCAATATTCATATACATATAATAGAGGCCTGGTGCATGAATTTGTGCACAGGTGGGGTCCAGCTGGCCCACACCGATCAGGGTCAGTCGGGCCGGCCAGCCGGCCCCACCCCCTAGTTGAACTTCAGTCAAACTCCTGGTGGAGGGGAAAGTTTGCATATTACCCTTTTATTATACAGGAGGATTTTATATCTTAAACCAAACTGCAGAAATTCGGATTTTAATCAAGTTAATAATCTTTTACAGAGCCTACTGTAGTAGGAATTTTACTTGCATCAAATAAAGTCGTCAAGAAAAAATTCATTAGATTTCTGCTAGTTCCTACCTTTCAATTTAAAAAAATTTATTAGAGAGATCATCATCTCAGACCATATTACCACGAGACAACATTGGTTTGTTTTTTTTTTGGGGGGGGGGGAGGTTGGGGGGGGGGGGTAGAGTGAGGAGGGAAGGTTACTAAATTATTCTGATTAGCAATTAGTTATGCTAATAGAATGCAAGGGAGTGAAGAAAAAGTAAACAAACACATTTTAACTACTAGAGTAAATATGTTCAACCAGCAATGACACAAATACATTTAAAAGTGCAAAAACTCTATTTTCCAAACTGACCAAGCAGCAGAAAATCCAGTAAGCACTAATAGGTCAGGGAAGTAAGAGAACAAAGTAACAAAGAAGGCTAGAATAATCTTAAACTGTAAAGCAAACAAAAATAAAATATGAAGTATGTGTTTTATATCTACAAACCAGACCTAAGAGTATAAAAATCTCACATATGACGTTTAAAAGACGTGTAAAGAGGTTCTGAAGTACAGAAACTTACAAGAAATGTCTGTGTTTGTGCGCACACATAAAACAATGTGAAAGTTTTCAGGACTAAGCAAAATCTGATTAATCATGTATATTAAAATAACTTTAGAGAAGACATTCAAAAGTTGGAAAGACTATCATGCCGGAAGATGATAAGCACCTCTCAGTTATGACTATGCCTGCCTTAGAAATGATGTAACAAACGTTTTTAGGTATCAGGTGGTTCTGTACTTTTTTCCAGACCCCTCTTGTATAGCCACATTATATTTTAGTCAACTACCCAAAATAAGTAAAACTTCCTGCTTTTTATTCACTAGAGACCAGGTGCACGAATTCATGCACAGGTGGGGTCCAGCTAGTCCACCCCAATGGGAGCTGCAGGCGATTGGCAGCTGGCCCCGCCCGCGATCGGGTTTGGGGGGATGATCAGGACCCAGATCAGGCTGGTTGGCTGCTGCAGTGCACATCATAGCCACAGGTCATACT